GAGAATGTATAAATATGTATCAATTACAAAATATCAATAACCTCAAATGTATTAATCCAAATTTATTAAATAAAGGACCATATTTAAATAACCAATACACAATATGTTCTGCCAAAGAAAATTTATCAAAGAAAATGAAAAAGAAAGCATCAAAAGATCCTGATTACCAATACTTACTTAAAGACTATAAATTTATAAAAAATCTACAAATAGTCCTGAATAAACCAAAAGGAAAGAAAGCATATTACTTTATAGCACTAATAAATAATCAACCAATTAAAGTATTACTCGATGAGGGAGCAAGTGCTAATGTTATAGAACTAGACCTAGCATGAGAATATAATTTACTCAAATTACTAAAAGAACCACCTACCAGGACAGCACAATTACCTGGAGAAAAGGTAATCAAAAACTATGGAAAAATACAGTACCTTTTCAAGTAGACAGGTACAAAGAAAATCTCAAAGTAACAATCATTGAAGGAAACCAAGCATACCTTCTACTCTCTGAAATCGATCAAGCACAATTAAATATATCTAAAGATCGAAAAAGACACATCATTCTTATACATGGTAAACCAATAAACTATCAAGACATTGATGAAAACTACCAAATTCCAAAGAGGTTTAGGCATTATGATCAAGTCTCTATTCGTAATAACCTAGTTTCTTGGGTACCCCTCCGAACTTTGAGATTAAGCGAGTCCAAGCTAGCCAAATATCTCGAAAAACGAGATACCCCACAAAAATCAGAAAAAAACCCAAGAAAGGCGCCCAACATGGTATCTAAAATGGATCACAACCAACTAGGAATGGTGCCAAATCATACTGGTTGCCAAAAAGTAACATTAAGAAAGGCGACCAGTACCCAAAAATGGGTTGAACAGGAATATCATAATCCCAAATATAAAAAATTGACCAATGAATTAATATCCTATTCATTCAATGAACAACTCAACTTGTTAAAGAAACAAGTAAAAAGAAATAAACAAAGAATCAAATTAATAGGAACCACTTGTAATGGCAAATGGTCAGAAATAGTAAGAACTGCTTTAGCTACAGACTCTAACATTCTTCAAATCTTTCTAACATACAAAGAATTAAATGGGCAATTCAAAAATAAACAAGAAAAGAGATATGCCGAATTACAAAATTGCGAACCTGATAAAACAGAAGATAATAATATTATAATAGGCAATAGGAATATTGGGCTAAAAATGGTACTACATATTACCTTAGGTTTGTATATTAATTAAGCATTGTATGGGCACAATAGTAAGAGAAATTGGAAAATAAATAGGATATTACAAGAACTTGCAAGAGTACAAGAAATAAATATTAAATGGGCTGTAATACATATAGGTACCCTAGCTGGAGATAAGAAACGATCAGACATGATCGATAATATCAATAAAATATTATGCATAATAGACAAGAACCGATGAGATATCAGATTATTATTAGAAAACTCAGCCAGCAATAATTGCTTTGGTGCAACTATTCCAGACCTCATGGATATAGTGAATAGTACAAGTCAAGAGTTAAGATATAAAGATAAAGCAAGACTAAAAAAGTGAATAGGCATATGCTTCAATACGTAGCACTGGTATACTGCAGAGCAAGACAAGAGAATCGATGAATATTGAAACGTACTAAGAATGTACGGACAAGAAATCATGTTAGTATATATGAATAATAGCCTGCCAGAAGTGATATTTGGCAAAGAAATAGACAAATATGAGCACCTATTGGATCCACAAGCAAGTATACAACAAGAAGTATATCAAATAATTATATAGCATAAAGAGGTCTATGCTGCGGTAGTAGAGACACTGTCAAATGAGATAGCTAATCAAATAGCACAAATATATAAAATCTCTAAACTAAGAGAATAGGCAGGAGACACATTTTAAGAAGAAACACCTCAAAAAGAATGGTCTAAAGGAAAAAACCAAGAATTAAAAGAACATAGAAATCAATATGAAGGACCAGGATTATCAGGAATGACAATTCTATTGGGAATAGAATTTGATAACCCAGAAGTAACATTACTTGCAAAACAAGTACAATGAATAACAGTTGCAGTAGAACACGAAGCACCACAAAATAAACAAGAAGAGAAATTGAATCAACTCTATCTAGAAGCCACACAAAGAGAAATAGATTAATTTAAAAAACAAATAATAGAAAAAGATAATACTAAAAAGATAAGAAAGGAAAAGCTAAAAGCTTAAATATTACCCTTAATCAACAAGAGGGAAGCAAAGTCAAAACACCAAAAATAGGAACATTCATTAAGACACAGTTGTCACAATTAGATCAAATTTTATAATTAGAAAAAGAACAGGAAGACCCAAGAATTAGAACAGGATTAAGGCAATTAAAACAATGACCAGAAAGCATGGAAACAAATTATAAATATGTTTCCCAATTAACGAAGCAACAAACTAATGAATACATCCAAGAAATTGAAAGAGTCACAAATAGAAAAATATCAGAAGCCGAAATAGCAGAAGATAAAAAAGCTTATCTATATAAAACAATATCCACATTAACAGAAACAAAGGATGCTATTCTTTGAAAAAATAGAGACCTAGTAAAAGACTTAAAAGAAGAATATGGATATGCAACTAACCAAGCACTAACCTTGGATAGAAAAGACTTTGAAGTAATGGAGGAATATGAACAGCGAATCCTAATGGAAAGATTCGCTAGACAAATAGAATTATGTGAAAGCGAACCACTACGAGAACAATTCCAAGCAAAATATAGAGAATTGTTAGAAGTGTCATTAGAAAACTTAGACAAAATACATGATGACAAAGACGAAGAAGAGCAAATATTCCAAGAACAAATACGAGCCAGAACAAAAAGCTTAGAATTACCAGAAACATTACTACCAAGATATCCATATCGTGAAGAGTATCAACCAACAATAAATGAACTACGAGAAACAGAACAACTAGCAGATAGATGGTTACTAAACAACAACTTCGGACGAACAATGGAATGGGTAAATAAACAAGATAAAAATTACTATTCAAAAGTACCAGAACAAACAATATCAAGAACTACAACAAGACCAAGTTCACCAACATCACCAACCTTTTTGATAAAGCAAAAGAAATGGTACAGGGCACTTTAAGTACAGCACAACAAATGTTAAGTAGAAGTAATTCATTGCAATCGACACAATCATCTCACTCTAAACAATATCAACATAAATTGTTACCACTAATAAAAGAAGTACAACCAACTGATATAATATCAGAATCAAGCAGTCTTTATACACCAACAAGCAAAGATGACAATGATGATAATAACCATCTATCTGCTAGTTGTTCTGTTTCTCGTAGTTCATTTATTGTTGGTTGATACTCTTCACGATATGGATATCTTGGTAGTAATGTTTCTGGTAATTCTAAGCTTTTTGTTCTGGCTCGTATTTGTTCTTGGAATATTTGCTCTTCTTCGTCTTTGTCATCATGTATTTTGTCTAAGTTTTCTAATGACACTTCTAACAATTCTCTATATTTTGCTTGGAATTGTTCTCGTAGTGGTTCGCTTTCACATAATTCTATTTGTCTAGCGAATCTTTCCATTAGGATTCGCTGTTCATATTCCTCCATTACTTCAAAGTCTTTTCTATCCAAGGTTAGTGCTTGGTTAGTTGCATATCCATATTCTTCTTTTAAGTCTTTTACTAGGTCTCTATTTTTTCAAAGAATAGCATCCTTTGTTTCTGTTAATGTGGATATTGTTTTATATAGATAAGCTTTTTTATCTTCTGCTATTTCGGCTTCTGATATTTTTCTATTTGTGACTCTTTCAATTTCTTGGATGTATTCATTAGTTTGTTGCTTCGTTAATTGGGAAACATATTTATAATTTGTTTCCATGCTTTCTGGTCATTGTTTTAATTGCCTTAATCCTGTTCTAATTCTTGGGTCTTCCTGTTCTTTTTCTAATTATAAAATTTGATCTAATTGTGACAACTGTGTCTTAATGAATGTTCCTATTTTTGGTGTTTTGACTTTGCTTCCCTCTTGTTGATTAAGGGTAATATTTAAGCTTTTAGCTTTTCCTTTCTTATCTTTTTAGTATTATCTTTTTCTATTATTTGTTTTTTAAATTAATCTATTTCTCTTTGTGTGGCTTCTAGATAGAGTTGATTCAATTTCTCTTCTTGTTTATTTTGTGGTGCTTCGTGTTCTACTGCAACTGTTATTCATTGTACTTGTTTTGCAAGTAATGTTACTTCTGGGTTATCAAATTCTATTCCCAATAGAATTGTCATTCCTGATAATCCTGGTCCTTCATATTGATTTCTATGTTCTTTTAATTCTTGGTTTTTTCCTTTAGACCATTCTTTTTGAGGTGTTTCTTCTTAAAATGTGTCTCCTGCCTATTCTCTTAGTTTAGAGATTTTATATATTTGTGCTATTTGATTAGCTATCTCATTTGACAGTGTCTCTACTACCGCAGCATAGACCTCTTTATGCTATATAATTATTTGATATACTTCTTGTTGTATACTTGCTTGTGGATCCAATAGGTGCTCATATTTGTCTATTTCTTTGCCAAATATCACTTCTGGCAGGCTATTATTCATATATACTAACATGATTTCTTGTCCGTACATTCTTAGTACGTTTCAATATTCATCGATTCTCTTGTCTTGCTCTGCAGTATACCAGTGCTACGTATTGAAGCATATGCCTATTCACTTTTTTAGTCTTGCTTTATCTTTATATCTTAACTCTTGACTTGTACTATTCACTATATCCATGAGGTCTGGAATAGTTGCACCAAAGCAATTATTGCTGGCTGAGTTTTCTAATAATAATCTGATATCTCATCGGTTCTTGTCTATTATGCATAATATTTTATTGATATTATCGATCATGTCTGATCGTTTCTTATCTCCAGCTAGGGTACCTATATGTATTACAGCCCATTTAATATTTATTTCTTGTACTCTTGCAAGTTCTTGTAATATCCTATTTATTTTCCAATTTCTCTTACTATTGTGCCCATACAATGCTTAATTAATATACAAACCTAAGGTAATATGTAGTACCATTTTTAGCCCAATATTCCTATTGCCTATTATAATATTATTATCTTCTGTTTTATCAGGTTCGCAATTTTGTAATTCGGCATATCTCTTTTCTTGTTTATTTTTGAATTGCCCATTTAATTCTTTGTATGTTAGAAAGATTTGAAGAATGTTAGAGTCTGTAGCTAAAGCAGTTCTTACTATTTCTGACCATTTGCCATTACAAGTGGTTCCTATTAATTTGATTCTTTGTTTATTTCTTTTTACTTGTTTCTTTAACAAGTTGAGTTGTTCATTGAATGAATAGGATATTAATTCATTGGTCAATTTTTTATATTTGGGATTATGATATTCCTGTTCAACCCATTTTTGGGTACTGGTCGCCTTTCTTAATGTTACTTTTTGGCAACCAGTATGATTTGGCACCATTCCTAGTTGGTTGTGATCCATTTTAGATACCATGTTGGGCGCCTTTCTTGGGTTTTTTTCTGATTTTTGTGGGGTATCTCGTTTTTCGAGATATTTGGCTAGCTTGGACTCGCTTAATCTCAAAGTTCGGAGGGGTACCCAAGAAACTAGGTTATTACGAATAGAGACTTGATCATAATGCCTAAACCTCTTTGGAATTTGGTAGTTTTCATCAATGTCTTGATAGTTTATTGGTTTACCATGTATAAGAATGATGTGTCTTTTTCGATCTTTAGATATATTTAATTGTGCTTGATCGATTTCAGAGAGTAGAAGGTATGCTTGGTTTCCTTCAATGATTGTTACTTTGAGATTTTCTTTGTACCTGTCTACTTGAAAAGGTACTGTATTTTTCCATAGTTTTTGATTACCTTTTCTCCAGGTAATTGTGCTGTCCTGGTAGGTGGTTCTTTTAGTAATTTGAGTAAATTATATTCTCATGCTAGGTCTAGTTCTATAACATTAGCACTTGCTCCCTCATCGAGTAATACTTTAATTGGTTGATTATTTATTAGTGCTATAAAGTAATATGCTTTCTTTCCTTTTGGTTTATTCAGGACTATTTGTAGATTTTTTATAAATTTATAGTCTTTAAGTAAGTATTGGTAATCAGGATCTTTTGATGCTTTCTTTTTCATTTTCTTTGATAAATTTTCTTTGGCAGAACATATTGTGTATTGGTTATTTAAATATGGTCCTTTATTTAATAAATTTGGATTAATACATTTGAGGTTATTGATATTTTGTAATTGATACATATTTATACATTCTC